CAAAATCGCCGGGTGTCCACATAACGAAAATTTACCCTGAACAGAATACGGAAAGTAAAATGACATTACTTTAAATACAATAAGGCAGGTTGACCAAAATGGCAGACTAGTTATCCTATACACCCTCATGATATGGGTATCAGATGAAAGGGTTCGATGAAAAGAATACGAAAAATCAAGTAACTTTAATAATACGGCAGACCGTCCAACTAGTTTTTTGCTGAAAAGATCACGTCACTCTAAATCGAATATGGTGGGTCAGTTTTGTATGCCCCCCCTGATATGGGTATCAAACGATGATAAAAAAAATTCAATTGTCATCCTTCTGGCCTCAATATGGTGGAGTCCCAAAGGTGATGGAATATGTCACTCATGCATTCCCATGATATGGATATCAAATGGAAGGATTAAAAAAAAAATAGGAAAATGGGAAACATACGGAAAACATGCGGGAAATGGGAAACATACGGAAAACATGCGGAAAATGGGAAACATACTTGAATAGAGACGGGTTAAATGATGTCACGATAAAAGTGGAGCTCAGAAATTGAAGAGAGAAGTGTAAGGATACAAAACAGTGAAAGAAGATGGTGAAGATAAGATAACCAATCACACAGTCAATTGTAAACATGTTTCCCTGCATCACATAAATCGGAAGTGAACATTTTTATGATGCAATAATTATCATTCCTCATATTTTATTTTTCAATACATCAACCAATGAATAATTGTGTCTCTGATAAATGACTGACAAATATCAATAATTAATCCTTTTATTCATATCCGGAAATGAATTTTGTTGATGATTATTTTCAATAAAAGAACATACGCTTTCACGGCCTGAGCCCAATTGGAGAGAACAAAATCCGGGCTGGTAGGAAAAGTAGTATCTCAAAGTCTCACCAACGGCTGACTTCGAGACTGAGACTTCTAGCTTCATCTTCGCAGTCACGCACACACCACTGAAGATATCTGCATCAGTAGCAGTAGACAAGTCTCACCAACGGCTGACTTCGAGACTGAAACTTCTAGCTTCATCTTCGCAGTCAACGCACACACCACTGAAGATATCTGCATCAGTAGCAGTAGATACGTTTGGTACTACAAGTTCCTATCGACTACAGTCTACCAGCCCTGATTATGGTGTCTCTAGTTATTTTCAATTCCAGAATAAGAATTTAAAAAAAAAGCATTGCATTTCAGGTCTTCAGGGTATTCCACTGGACTCCGGGGAAAACAGATCTCTTCCAATCGATATGCCCACTATGGGAGAGAGATTTCAGGAATTGGGCTACAAAACCCATATGGTAGGAAAATGGCATCTGGGGGCAGCATGCAAAGAAGTCACCCCGACAAAGAGAGGTTTTGACACTCACTTCGGTTATTGGAATGGTTATGTGGGCTACTTTGATTATAAAATATCAACGCCCATTAATGATACGCATGTGAGTAAAAAATAAGAGCAGAGCTTTTCCTAGTGATTCCCTTTGCTTATGCTGTATAAAACAATACGCCTGTTTCAATAAATTGAGGTCAACAAGATCAGGTTTCGATATATTTACATTCAAATATTTTAATGGAATTTAGATATAACCACTACTTTAAACTTATCTCCATAGACATACTCTGTCCTACCTTCAGCTTAAATGAAAGCATAATATTTATGACTGAGAAACATGAAGTCATGATAAAATGAAATCATGAAGTGAACTGAAGGAATTTTTCCAGTGCTTTAGAAGTATTTTACTTCTTATAGGTTATATATTACAATCAGAGGGTCTTCCAACAGGGACTTCCGACTTGACAATTGATAACAACCATCTTATTGAAACTACATCTGTCAAATTAGTGGTCATTGGCAGTTGGCAACTGACCCTAATTTTCATCGAAAAATTATCTTCAGCGATGAGATCCATTTCTGAATGAATGGGTACATGGAACAAATAAAATTGTTGAATTTTTGACAATACCAATCCGCATGAGATTCAAGAGCATCCAATACATCCCGAAAAAGTCACTTTTTGGTGTGGATTTTGGACTGGGGCGTCATCGGTCCATATTTCTTTGAGAACGACGTTGGCCAGGCTATCGCTGTCAACATGGAGCACTATAGGTCAATGATTACCAACTTCTTTTGGCCTGAATTAGATGATCCGGACACCAATGACATGTGGTTTCAACAGGACAGCGTTACGTGCCATACAGCTCATGTCACAATGGATAGTCTGCACGAGCGATTTGAGGGCATAGTCATCTCACATGTAGGTGATGTGAACTGGCCACTGAGATCATGTGATTTGATACCGTTAGTCTTTTTCTTGTGGGGTTTTCTCAAGTCGCAGGTGTATGCGAATAAGCCACAAACCACAACGGTCCTCAAAGCCAACATAACCTATACCATCAGTCACATTCAGCTTGATTTATGCACCAGAGTTACGTGAAATTTGGCATTTCGGATGCGCTCCACCCAGAGAAGCCATGGCGTATATTTGAACGATGCTATTCCACACATAATGGCATCAATAGGTCTTTCAAACAAATAAAAAATTCGATGATATCACACACACGCACATACACCCACTTTGTTTTATTTAAATGTAAAGATAGGAAGCGACGTATTTTGTTAATAACGACCCATAAAAATGTGTTTCAAACTGTCTACTAACTTTTCTGTAAAACAGCTAGTTCTTTTATCATTTCGGGAGGGAAAGGGGCTAAGCATCTCTCAATATACGGCATTGTTTTTTGTGTATATACTCTGTTAAAAAATTCTGCAAGTTGTTCAAACTTCCATACAATCTAATTATATTCCAAAAAATCAGATGAGAGATGGAGTCTAACCACCCTCTAAAAAAAAGGAAAGGCCCACCTTTCAAAAAATGAAGTGTCATCCACTATATATGTGATCCCACGGTGATATACACAGAGTGTATATCAACTCCAAAATCTATTACTTGTAACGAGAAGACGCAACCAAACAAATCTCATCAATGAAGATCTGGCAAAAATCCATTAACGTAAAAAGATGGAAAGAAAAACGCAATGAACCCATGAGACTGCAGTGTTTTCCAGAGAGTCAGAAGAAATGGAGAAATAAGACGGTTCTCAAGTAACAAAAAATGGTGAACTGATAAAAGAAATGCTCTGTAGTCACGGTTGCTTATGACATTCATAGGAATTGAGGCGGAATTTCTCTTTGTTAGCTCATTTGACTTTTCTTTTCGTAATTTCTTGTCCTTCAGCTTGGTTACTAACCCTAAATGTAGAATAAATATAAATGAAGCCACAACATATTTTAGTATTCGTTTTTGTGATCAAATATATGTTTAAAGAACTTCACCGGATTCGATCTGCACAATGAGTTCAAACCAGAGTGGGGACTAATAGGACAGTATGCCACTGAACTCTTCACAAAAAAATCTTTGGAAGTGATAGATAAACATGACACTGATAAACCTCTATTTTTGATGATTAATCATCTTGCCGGTCACGCCGGACATGATGGGGTAGAACTGGGAGTACCTAATGTAACTGAAGCAAACAAGAAATATGGATATATCAAGACTCCAGAACGACGGTTATTAGCAGGTTAGTTTCAAAATCAGAGTCAATTTGCCCCATTTTTCATTAAATCACACCAATGAAAAGAGTTCAATACTAAAACAGTTGAAGTATGAATTACTTGGTCTTCGAAAAATGAAAAAGTAACTACATTTCCGAAAAAACTATGGAACGTATTTATAGTTTTTATCGCAAACTAAAACATATTTTTTGGGGATTCTTGTTCATTTTACGAGGTCTGGCTATTAAATAACGAGACTGGTTACGAAACAGGGTTTTACTGCAAAAATTATTCTACATTTGAATGCTCCCCTTCAATATACTCCCCTCCACTTTCCATTGGTTTTTCCATTGATCGAAGCAGGGCTGGAAGTCTTCTTTGGTGAGGGCCTTTAGGAGCTCTGCCGTTTTTTGCTTTATCGTTTCCATCGACTCAAATCGAGTCCCTTTCAAAGCAGATTTTATCTTCGGAAACCAAAAAAAGTCGCCAAATCTGGCGAGTACGGCGCGTGTTCAAGCACTGGCCAAATATCGGCCAAATACCGCTTCACAGATAGAGCGTTATGGGCAAGTGCGTTATCCTGGTGCAAAATCCACCAGTAGTTCTTCCACAACTTGTTTCTTACAAACTCGTTTTTGCTGTGTTGCTACAAGTGACAAATAGTAAGTCTGGTTGACAGTCTGGCCCTCTGGAACCCATTCAGTCATCACGATACCGTTAACGTTGAAAAAAACGATCAACATTGCCTTGAACTTTGATTTGGACATCCTTGCTCTCTCGCCCTTCACTGAAGTGTTTACACCGCTCAAAAACACGCGCACGAGATAGGCCTCTTGCAACAATTTATAGCACTCAGTCGGAGTTTTTTTTCAATTTAACGAGAAATTTTAAATTGATACGTTGCTCCTGTTTTTCATCACACATGGTTTTCGGCACGAGAAAAAAACAAATACTATAATTGTGATGAAAACGTGTTTTAGTACACGAATAGAGAAAATTTCCAGATATCCAACGTTTTTCCCCACCCCTCTAGGGCGCCCTCTAGGCGCGCAGTCTCGTTATTTAATAGCCGGACCTCGTATATTGTTGTATGTATGAAAAAAACCTATTACAATATGTTTTTCCTTAACCAGCTGTCGCCTCTCTACGAACGAAAGCCCTCAAAAGTCGAAACTTGTGCGAGCTAATGATTAACGAAGAAGAAAAAAATAAATATCGATAAAGGATCTTTAGAAAAAATATTATATCATACGCAGACAGAAAAAATATTACTTCTCTTTTTGAACAGTAAAATGCACAGAAGGCTAAACGAATTATTGAAAGAGGAAATGTTTGTTTGCAATGCATGAACTTAAAAGGACTCAACCGATTTTAACAAATTTTCACTTATGGAAAGCTGTATTTTATCTCCAAAATATCAGACTCCTACAAAAATTGCAATAATGTAAGTCAAGATATCAAAAATTTGCCTATAAAAGTTAATATTTAAGAAACAACAGGAACCTCTGGCATATACTGAATTCCAAATAAGCAAACCCCAGACCTGCAACATTCTTCTCGATGCGAGTATCACCAACCAAGTTGGCTTCTTCAGAAGATAGAGTAGACTTATTTCTAACTCTAAAACTAGTGTTTGTATATTCATTCGACAGGGAGCACTTTCACTTTCAGGCCCAGTGATTTCGGATATTAGAAATTCGCAGGAAATTTTCTCATGAGAGGTCTCTCTAATTTTAACATATCAATTCATATAGGACCTTTGTCCTATATGAATTGATATGTTTGTTTTCATGCCATACTTTTTTATTTCCAGAATTTCGAAAGCATGCAAAAATCTAATGTCATTCACCAATCTCAAAAATTTTGAACAGTTTTCATTCATTCTATGGCCGTTATCCAAAGCGTGTTGAGCGACAATAGATTTTTCTGGTCGCTGAAATCGGATGGATGCTGCTTGTTCTTTGAAACAAGTTTTAATAGCTCGTTTAGTCTGGTCGATATTTTTTGTCATAGTTCGCACACAACTTTTCAATTTCCAACACTTGTCTTCAGGAATAACTAATACCTTAAAAGGTAAAACCTCTTTATTTCTTAGCTCGTACAAGTTTCTACTTCTGAGGGTTGTTGTTCGCAGGGGGTCTACAGCTGGTTAACAGAAAACAGATTTGCCCAGATTTTTCAAGATAAAGGCGCTGTTGCCAATATGTGAATTAGAAAAAAATCATTTAAAAATTAAAACCCAACATTTGAAACATCAATTTGAATACTTTTCGAAGTGAATATGAAAAACTCATGAATTAAACTCAAATTGAGGAACATTCCCCAAACAAATTTAATGAATACTTTTCGAATATTTGATTGTACAGAAGAAAAAACTTCACATTGACCGGACGAATTATCATTCATATTACTTCATAGTTGAATCTATATACAGTGTGTCTCACTTCTTATGGCAATACTCCCGTATCTTCCGTAATAATTGAGGTAGAATGATGAAACTCTCAGGACTGATGGAAATGCTAAAAATGCACATGCCACCTAAATGGTGTTGGGCAAAGTAATGTACATTGCCCGCCACTAGCGATAGAACAACCCATTTTCACGGTAAAACATACTAGAGGGCGAAATAGGCTCAAAATTCATTCAGATTCGTGATCAGGACTACCAACTTACTACGAATACACGTTTTCTCTGAAGAAATTTCAGTTCTGTGATTATTGAAGTAGATTTTTTTTTGTTTTGACATCAAAACACGAACCCGTCCTAGAAAATCAGAATTTTTACATGAAAAATCAATTGTTAAAGAGAAACTTGACTTTGTTTTCACATAACTCATTTATTTTTTATTTTGGTGACATGAAAGTTATTCCATAGTCAATGAGAGAGTAAATGTTAATTTTGTAAGTGGAATGGAAACATGATATCAGTGGGGTGTTGGGATGGTTAATGTTAATTCAGATTCCCAGCTTCACATTATTATCAAGAAACCAAGTGTTTTTTGTGGCGAAAAATTTTATGTAGTTCAAAACTCTTTCGAAGTAGTACTTTCAAAATCACGTTTTCAATTAAAAAACAAAACAATCAATTTCAATTGATTTAATTATTGACAATTTTATATTTTTGTGCCTGCTATCAAACTTCCCTACAAGCGAACACATTTTTCTATGCGCCTTCTATTATTTCCTCCAACTCTTCGCAGTTCTCTAGGTGTGATTTCTCTACACGCTCATATAAACTTTATTTTTCAACCTTCCCCATTAATGAAAATCCAGTGGAGTTAGATCTGGGGATCGTGGTGGCCATACTACGAGAGGGCTATTGGGTCCTATCCATTAAATAGGTAGGTTCCTATTCAACCAAAACCTTGTTATGCCACTATTCTGAACTGCTGAACCATCTAACTGAAAAATCAGGTTGTGTTTAATATCTAAATGTAGTTCTTCTAACACATCGGTAAATGTATTTTCGATAAAAATTAACGAATTCATCCGTTTCGATTTAGATCGAAAGAAAAAAATGGCGCGATAATATTTTCGTTCAGAATACCACACCACACATTAATGTTCTGAGATATTCGGTCTCTACAATTCACCACCCAATTTGGATTTTGTTCAGCCCGAATTCTCATATTCTGGGAAGAACATGAGAAGAACACAATTTTTCTGTCCTTTGTTACTTGGCCGGTGTTCACGAAAATATTATATATTTTATGGACAGCTACCTCTAGCGGATGTCTTCTATTGAATTCAGCGGCCGCTTTACGAGAAGACATGAGCTGATGTCAGTTAAAATAGGAACTTCAGAAATATCAAAATATGAACAGGAACTCACGAACAGAAAACAACTGGAACACAGGAACAATACCAAACACAAACACAGGAACAACAAATGTAATGAAAACTGGTCTGGGGGTTACTACAACAAGATCTTTCAACAATATTGTCAAGTTGACAGTAAGTATATGTTTTTCATGGTAATCTCAGGGCATCCCATGATTTTTATTTAGTAAAACTGATGTAATTCAATCCCTTCAAATGATTTCAGACAACAATTCAGCAAGTAGGTAAAATAATCTAAATTCTACCTGTTAACCGAGTGCGATTTTTTCTTGAAAAACTAACGATTGTTTCGCTTGGCAAAATGTTTCCTCAATATTTTAATGAATATTTCTTATGAGAACTGGCTTTCCATGAATTTTGTCGAAATTTTGATATGTTGTAGTTTTTGATATGCTAATTGCCACAGCCAATTGCACAGCCAAAGCTGTGGACCCTTTCCGAGATGTGAACCTTTAAAAATAGATTTTTTCCAATTTTTGCGACAGAGCTCTCTCACTTCTGGTTGGGATAGAATTTGGATGTTCGGCACCCAGAATTAGTTTTACGAATGGTCTTCCTCAGTTATATTAGATGCCGCCATTGGTAGATTTTCATACACTGCTCCACAATATCTCGATAATCTGAATGTGGTACTGTGACATTTTCCTCACAGCCAAAATAATTCGTGAAAATCTTTGATACCTTAGAGTACCCTCCAGATAGAATCTAGGGGTTCAGGTATTGGAAGCGAACTATTTTGCCCCCTAGTATATTTTACCGTAAAAATGAGTTGTTCCATCGCGAATAGCCGGCAGTGTATATCACTTTGGCCAACCCCATTTATGTATTATGTGTATTTTCAGAATTTCCATCAGTCCTGAGAGTTTCATCATTCTACCTCGACTATTACGGAAGATACGGGGGTGTTTCCATGAGGAGTCAGACACACTGTAGTTACTTATTTCCAGCCGTATGATTCAAATGTGTGTTCCAGCAGATATTAAATTTTGAGAGAAACCTTTTTCGTTCTCCATTTCTCGATATTTGTATATGATTCTCCATCACCATTAATCACAATTCATTTTCTTTCAAAAGTGAAATTTCGAAATATTCATCTCTTCCAATTACCTACATCGTAGGCCCTGGTATGCTGGATATTGAATTGTATCCGACAGACATTCATGCAAGATACCTCACAGATGTTAGTTTCTCATTTATCCAGCAGCAGGATCATGCTGAAATCATTCGAGTAGATCACCTAAAGACCGGTTTCAAGGTATTACCTCTCATCAGTGTAGGAAAGATCCAACCAAACAGCAAAGTGCCTGGGACTCGATTAATTTCAACGCGGCCCAACTGCACGTATGAAACCATCGTCTAAGAGAAAAATCGTCAACTATAGGATATTCACGTTAAGAAGAGAATAACGTCACAAAATGTCAAGTTAAGGCGTTGCCAACATGTGCACTATTTCGAACTTTCAAATTCTTTTGTGATGTTGATTTGTTTTATTGCTTTCAACCTTACTTACTATTAACTTGGTTGAAATACAAATTTGTTGAGACTGTTTCGACAATGCTTTAGGCATATTGAATAAAGGCAAATTACAAAATGAAATTTTACTAGTTTCATTGCTATTAAAAGCATTTCATTAGAACTTTTAACGTTGTTATGTTGGCTATATATATACCAAAAATGACGTCATTCTCTTCTTAACGTGAATATCCTATAGTATCAGCTGCATCTTGTGAACAAAACCCCAATCGGGAAAGAAACATCCCATGTACCAATAATCTAACAGGGATCACACAGTGTCTGAAGACTGTATCGAGGAGAGATAGAAAATAGATATTTCAAAATAAAATCTCTAAATATTCATCTCTCCCAACTACCTACTCGGTAGGTGTAGCATTTATATCATGTGGAATTTTATTTCAGTAACTATTCTTTTATTGAGTGATGATATCTTCTAGAGTAGATACTGCGCTACCATTTATTATAGAACTGAGTTGGAATATTTACAATAAAATACAAAATTCACACCCTAACTTCTCTTTGAAAAATGTATATTTATTTTTCAGATATCGTCAATCACTTGGACCGATCAGTTGGAGAAGTAATCACAAAGATGTCTGAAAAGAAAATGCTTGATAACTCCATTATAATTTTCTTTTCTGACAATGGAGCCCAGACCACAGGAAAATATCAAAACTTTGCATCCGGATGGCCTTTTAGAGGGGTAAATCAACAATAACAAAAGAGTGTACCAATGAACTATTTCTGCTACTAAAGCCATCTCTCTCAAGAAATTCTAAANATTGAGGAAAGAAACTCAATACGAATGCGCATATTATTAATATGTCTCGAAATTTCGATTTCAATGTCAAAATTATGACTTTAACCTCGAAATTTCGTGCTAGTTCGGATCAAATATTGCAACTGAATTTTGAAGCAGTTATCCTCAACCTACTGAACCAATAGATAGTTGCCCTGAGTGGCGTCATTCACATCCAATAAAAGGGACCGCCCCAAATGCTGGACTAGTTATATTTGATGCACCCCCTTAGTAACGGTATCAAATAAAAGAGCATGCTGAACAGAATACGGAAAGTAAAATGACATTACTTTAAATACAATAAGGCAGGTTGACCAAAATGGCAGACTAGTTATCCTATACACCCTCATGA